CCTGAGCTCTAGGGAACACAACTTGGGACCAGCCACCAACTGGATTTAACTCCATTCACAACTCTTTGGGCCTGGCCATCCAGCCAGTTTTTCACTCAGCGAAAAGTACACCCATCCAAACCATGAGCAGCCAGCTTCTCCAGGAGAATGCTGTGGGAAAACAGTGTCAAAGGCTTTACCAAAGTCGAGGTAAACAACATCTGCAGCCTTTCCCTCATCTACTAAGTGGGTCACATTGTCACAGAAGGAGATCCGGTTGGTCAAGCAAGACATGCTTTTCACAAACCCATGCCGACAGGGCCTTATCACCTGGTTGTCCTGTAGGTGCTGTAAGATGGCACTGAAGATGATCTGCTGCATAACCTTCCCTGGCACTGAGGTCAGGCTCACAAGCCCTCACAAGCTCACATCCTTCCAGCCCTTCTTGTAGAAGGGCATCACATTTGATAACCTCCAGTCAGCTAGGACCTCTCTGGTTAGCCAGGACTGCTGACAGTGGAAAGTGGCTGGCTAAGCACTTCCACCAGCTCTCTCAGTACTCTTGGGTGGATGCCATCCAGCCCCATAGACTTCTGTGGTGTCTAAGTGGTGTAGCAGGTCGCTAACCGTTTCCCTTTGGATTATGGGGGCTTCATTCTGCCTGTCTTCCAGCTCAGGGGGCTGTGTACCCAGAGGACAACTGGTCTTACTCTTAAAGACTGAGGCAAATAAGGCATTAAGTACCTCAGCCTTTTCCTCAGCCTTCGTCACTCTGCTTCCCCCTGCATCCAATAAATGAACATCCTCCTTAGCCCTCCTTTTGCTGTGAGTGTACTTTAAAAAACGTTTTTATATGTCTTTTACTGCAGTGGTCAGATTAAGTTCTAGCTGAGCTTTGCCCCTTATGATTTTCTCCCTGCATAAACCTCATGACATCTTTGTAGTCCTCCTGAGTTGCCTGCCGCTTCTTCCAAAGGTCATAAACTGTGGTTTTTTTCCTAAATTCCAGCCAAAGTTCTCTGTTCAGCCAAGCCAGTCGTCTTCCCTGTTGGCTCATCTTTTGGCACATAGGGACAGCTTGCCCCTGCACCTTTAAGATTTTCTTCTTGAAGAATGTCCATCCTTCCTGGGCACTTTTGCCCTTCAGGACTACCTCCCAAGTGACTCTGTCAACTCGTCTCCTAAATAGCCCAAAGTCTGCCCTCCAGAAGCCCAAGGTACCAGTTCTGCTGACCCCCTTCCTTACTTCTCCAAAAATCAAAAACTCTATCATTTTGTGATCCCTATGCCCAGGACAGCCTCCAACCGTCAAATCACCCACAAGTCCTTCTCTGTTCACAAACAACAGGTCCAGTGGGGCGCCTTCCCTAGCTGGCTCACTCACCAGCTGTGTTCCACACACTCCAGGAACCTCCTGAACTGTTTCCTCTCCACCGTATTGTATTTCCAGCAGACATTTGCTAAGTTGAAGTTCCCCCGGAGAACAAGGGCTAGAGATTGTGAGACTTCTCGCAGCTGCTTATAGAAGATTTTGTTTGCCTCTTCATCCTGGTTGGGCGTCTATAACAGACTCCCACCATGATATATGCTTTGTTGGCCTTTCTCTTTATTCTTACCATAAACATTTGACCTTTCATCACCATTGTCAAGCTCTAGACAGTCAAAATACCCTGTTAATATACATGGCTGCCCCATCACCTCTCCCTCCCTGTCTATCCCTTTTGAAGAGTTTATAGACATCTGTTGCAGCACTCTAGTTGTGAGAGTCATCCCACCATGTTTCTGTGATTGCAACTATATCATAGTTTTCCAGCCGCACAACAGCTTCCAACTCCACCTGTCTCCTGTCCCCTCGCACGCAATCATGTGGAAGGTTTCTTCAGTAGCTCAATATTTCACTAACACTGCCTCATTCTTCTCTTTTGTTGTTTCTGAACAAAACTAAAAAGAATTGCTTTAGTAGTAAGGTGCAGCAGCACAGCTGAAAGAAAACCGAATCTTTTCTATTATTAGCTTTCTAGAAAGATATTATTTTACTACTGAACAGTATGTTTTGACCCCATATTGAGCTTTCCAAGTGTTAAAATACTGTATCAGTATCGGTAGAGATAAAAGAAAAGATTTCATGCAACATCTTAAGATACAATGATTTTCAGCTCTGCCACTGCTGTTTATCCTTTTGCCATGAGACAAAATGGAATTTATCATTTATTCTTACTTTCACAATTTTAGGTAGTTTTTCCCTTGTACAACACCACATTCTTATTACAAACATTCTTGTCTGTTAATGCACATATAAACTGCCATTATATGAACTCTCTGCAAGAATAGAAGAGACACAATGTGAGGATAAAGGGGGTCTTTTTCCCTTTGTTTTGGAGAACAATACCAATTCAAGAGAGGTCAATTGAATTGTTTCTTAAGCATAACAACTGCTGTGCAGAAATCCAAAAGGAGAGAAAAAAACCAAACACTAATTGTAGAAAATTTCTAACACTGAAAACTAACTAATCATCTATGGCTACATTGTAAAGGTTAGTTAAACAAAGCAAACATTAGCTTACTTTATTTCGGGAGTAACAATTTCTGCTGCTAAACTGTCTGAAGGCTCTTGTCTTCCCAGAGGCATCAATCCTGGGTTAGGAAAAGTAAAAACTTTAGCAAGCAGACCAGTAACTTTCTTCAGAAGACCGGAAGTAAACATTGTTCTAGAAGTTTACAGTTTTAGAGTAATGTTAGACAATGGAAAATGACACAAAGTCAGGCTACAGCAAGACAGACAGACAAGCACAATTTCATTTGGAGAATAATCATTCTGTCTTCCTTCTGATTAAGTAATTTTACAGTGTATTTTGTGCTCATTGGCTTATCTAAGAACTACAAAGCTGATCAACATTACACATAGAAATAAACTGCAACACATGAAACATGATACACATGTGACAAAACTCAGTATCTCTTTAAAGAAAATTATGTAACCACAGAAATCAGAAATACATTATAAAAATACTATACTGGGGAGAAGACAAATTTCTCATTGACTGAACTAACATATGAGGTTTTCAAATGCTTCAAAAGTTATGAATAGGTGAAGCAGCTTTTCACTGCTGATCTTAGAGGAGCTTATATTTATTCTGTGATAAACAAACACACATTTAATACTCTCCAGAGAAGTCCTGTAAACTTTAGAAAAGATGCATTTAATCCCCTTATTTGTCCTTTACCTGTAGTGGTGAGTTGACCCTCCTGAGCTTGTATGCATCTAAGCTCTTCAATAGTTTCTTTCAAAGAATCCCTTTCTGTTCTTAATCTCTGGATAATTGGAAAGAGAATGAATATCAGTCTTGGCACTACAAATCCATTTCTAACACTACAAATCTGTTTCTAACTGTACACAGGTCACCAAAAGGCACAGCCTTCAACACTTTAAAAAGAATTTAATGCAATTCTAGAAATTATTTTCAAATTAAGGCATCTCAGTCTATCTCATAACAGAATAAACATAAATATTATATACTCAGGAACACTTTTTTTGAGAAGGGTTGCTGCTCTGTTTTACACTTATGGAGGTAAAAATATCAGAGTACTAGCTTACAAAATCAAGATATCAGTAACACAAAGTTCTGTTACCAGGTAGTAAACAGCATCCACTGGGGTCACTGAACCATCCCCCTTCTCCCCTTATCAGGGCTGCTTCCAACGGAAAGGCATTAAAAGAATTAAGAGACAGTAGACCTTTCCCTCACCAAGAAACTATGGTTTAGCCAGGAGTGAAATAAAAGCAGGTGAATACACAGTCAATGTAACAAACAAACTGCATCAACTTCGTTTTGTTTGTCTTTCAACAGTGAAAGTGTGAACAGCATTTCCGTATCTCCTTCTTCCTGTCTGTCAACTGGCCTTGCCATTCACCAGCATCTTAGCTATGGAAGAAAACTAGTTGCTTGAGGCTCAGTCCAAAGAGAACTGAAGAACAGGACTGGACCACCTTGGGATCTAGACATATGTGCTCTTCAGTAGCATCAGGCAAATACTCTCCCAATTTGGCACAAGTCCAATTTTTGCCAAAAGGTTTGGCAAAAAATTAGAATCTATACGTAGCATCAAGTTTTTGTCCAGAAGGTTGCCAAGATTCAAAAATGAAAGGAGAAAATGGCAACTATGTAAAGCTCCAAGTTACAGTTTGCTCCAAAATCAGACATGTCCAGTACTACTAAAATGTCCAGGACAGACCTCAGGTCTGTGTAGTTTTGGAGTTGTGTTGGTAACAGCTCCTTGTATTTTGTCCTATTAACAGTTTCATTCAGATACATTTTATATTTCAGCCCAAATGGATCCAGGGCTTGGAATCACTTTGGCAAAGAACGTTTTGGTGAGATGTGACACAGCCTTCAGCTGTATTTCTGAATCCTGCAAAGTGAACTCTGGTGCAATTGTCAGAACAATCTGCATAAAGTGTACATTCTGTTAGCACTGAAAGTCATTTCACAAACCCCACAGGCGAAAAAAAACTGTTTTTACCATAAACTACAGAAAAGTCACACAGAGGAGTGCTCAAACTCAGCTGCTGAAAGCCAGAATTCTGTAGTTGGCTACCGTTGAGTCAGAAAACATCAAGTTGGATTAATCAAATGCTAGAATATTTTAATAAATAGAAAAAGCTGTAGGGTTTCACTTGCACACTGAAGACAAAGTCACCTCATCGAATCATGTCAGTGCTTATAATACAACACACCACAGCGGTAAAATTCAGCTACATAATAGCTGAAGATACCAAACACGCTACCATACTTTGCCAGAACATAAAGACAGGGACAAATTCAATTTCAGTAACTGTTTCAAAGATATAACTGACAAAATACCACTATGTAGCTTATGACCTGTGGTGGGCAACATTATTGATATGTTTGTGACAACAGGCAACAGAAAGATTAGGTAACACAGGTAGTGAATTGTTAATTCAAACGTTGAGAGACTTCAGCTGTAATCTACTTCTCACAGATACTTAATCATCCAAAAGAATGTATTGAAAAAACAACATCTGCCCCAAAAAGATGTTGTTTGCTGGGGAGTAAAACAGAAAACTATACGACAATGGCCTGCAATTCAGATCCTTTGTGCAAGATGAAATGGTCCACCAAGCAATGGGTAAGCCACACACACAACCATACCATTGTCAAACATAATAAAACTGGAAAAACAAACTTTAAATAAAGAGCAGGAAACAAAGCCAAAGCACAGTACAAATACAGTTACTCTGGGCATTCCAATCTGAACTGAAGGGCAGATGGAAGTGATATCAAGGATAAGTGTCCACAACAGTTTGAAAATTTAATAAAATATCGAATTGAAAGACCTACGAACAGAAAATAACTGAAAACTTTCAATTCAAATGCTATTCCAGTGCAGGGGCTAGAAATTTTTGAAATAATTGGATAGGAAATATGACTATTGAGGGAAAAGCCTACAGATATCCTGTCTGATGGATGGACTTAAAACAAACCTGCTAATTCAAAGTGCTGGCCTTGGTCTGAGGTAGTCTGAGGCACCTGCATATACATTCCTAAGAAGCAAGTCGAAATAAACTAGTGAGATACAATAGTGTGCAAGAGAAGTCCAAAGGATCAGTCTTGGCAAGAGAGGATAGAACAATTAATTGCAGAATCACTGGCAGCAAATGACAGAGGAAGGGAATAGACTGGGATCTGTCTTGGCGATACAAGCTAGATCAAGAAGGAGCTGTCATAAAAGGTAAGATCGCCACAGAGGATGTGTCCCTCCACACGACTCCTAAGCCTGTTGCTACAGTAGTCATGACTCCACAAAGAGAAACATGCTGCTGGTACCTCAAGGAATGCTTTAGAAAAAATGCAACAGTTTAGTTCCAGGATGATACTGCAGAAACCCTACTTTAAATAGTTTTTCAGAATACATTACAATTACCCTAGATGTTTACTAACCTTCTCATGGTAAATGGTCAAGAAACAACTTCAGATTCGAAATATGAAGGCTTTTGTTCTTAAAAATGGGTTGCATATGTTTTTGTACAGTCACTTTATTCCATGCTGTACAGTTCTTGGGTAAAAGGATCTTTTACACAAATGTTAGAAAATACTAAGAGAAAAAAGACTTCCTAATTTAAAAAGCTTGCTGTAAATGGCTAACTACAATTACCATATCTCTGTGTTATAAAGGACACAAAGTTGCTATCACTACTACCAAAGAAATAACACCTTGGCACTTACATCTTTTTCTTTTTGGAGGCTGTCTACTTTTTCTTTCAGTCGTCTGCATTCATAATCTAATTTATCAGCTTTCTTGGATTCTTCAGATAACCTGTTTTGTAGTTCAACTGCCTGTGAGAACAAGAATCAATAATTTGTCTGCAAATATGAAAACAAAATACACAAGACAAAGTAGCCAATTACCATGCACCATGAGTCATGTCGTAAACAAGCAAAATATAGTTACCTCTAGGACATACTAAAAAGTGCTTTCAACAGTTGTTCTGTGTTTCAGCAAAACCAACAGCACTCAAGTACTATGTCTTAGCACAAGCAAAAGAAGCAAAAACTGTGAACTATTTTCAGTACATCTAAAACAAGAATTTAAGCCCAAGTGTGGTTTAGAGAAAAAAGCTATATATTTTTATGGATCAAAGAGCTTAGGAAAAGTAGAAAAATCCTCCTGCTTTCAGAGAAGCCTAGGAAACAGAAAAACTCTGAAGAAAGCAAATTATCTGCACCTTTTGTTAACTCTATTTCACAAGCCTCACTCAGAATTCAATCACCAGTTTATGCAGTCAGGTAACATTTCTTAAGCTGAGATTTTCCTAATAATTTTGAATACACTAATATAAAGGTTCAGCCACAGGCTGAATGGTTTTCTTTACTGCAGAAAGAAACATTGCTAACAAAGTCACATGTACACTTTCAACTACAGATCAGTAAAAAGATCTTAAAATTAGATCAGCAGAAATCTGAAAGCTGAGCAGAAACGATCAGTGAATGGGAGGCAAATCAGTGAAATCTTGCCTTTTCAAAACTCTAAGCCTTTACTAGCAAAGGCTCATTCCCTGAGCATTAGTAAAGCTCATAACACAGAGAACATGGAAGCAAGTAAGCTGAATAAAGACTGACCTTCAAACACAAAAGCTGAATGAAGACTCAGCTAAAGACGTACAGCTTCTTCTGAAGCAATACATAAGAAGGCTTTTTCATGGCTTTTAGATTACAGAGAAAGTGATTAACTTAAATTGAGAAGCGAAGCAGTAGCCATACCTATATTAAGACTGCATAGTGGTTCTAATTACCTTGTATTTTCAATGTGTATAGCTATAGCAGAATAACTACCAGACCTAAAAACCTGCATGGTCTTAAGTCTTGGAGAAGGACTTTGCTATTATTGTTCTTAAAATAAAAGCTGCAAAAAAAGCACAGGCCTGCCATTTCTGAGATTATCAGATTAAAAAAAACCTCCATCAAAACGTTAGATATGAAAATATTGCATTTCTCAGATGTGACATCCATTCCTGGGTCTATCAGAATAACTGCAGGTATTAAAAAAAAAAAAATGCAGACCTTCACTTGTGATTGCACCCCCGCTTGCAAAATAGGTATACTTTCACCTCAAATGGAAATAAATGTATTAATGTTTGTAATCACTTGTGCTATGGTAATGATACGAAAATAAATTGTCTTGAATCAGGACTTGGGAGTGTATATATAAACATATACAGCTAAATGGTAATGCAGAAGACAAAAAAAAAAGTTAATTGCCATCACATTTACCGAGCATTAGCTGACATGTGGAATGAGTAAAGCAGGAATCTTGCAGCAAAGAAAAGCAAAATATATTGTTAAAAATATATCAGAATGCACATGCACAAAGGGGCTGAATCATAATTCCAAAAAATAGTGCTGGAATCTTCACATTTCAATTCTTCATGCTGCAATAGGAAATGCTTGTCCTTGCATTCAGAAAAGTGAACAAAGACTCTTAAATAACCAAATGCTATTACATTTCCCAGCACAATACAGCACCACTAACCTCATCTTACAGAAACTGCTGGGGGAGGGTGAAGATGAGATTTCCTTGCAGATCACTACAGGAGTTTGAACCAAGCCCTTTCATTTTTGCAGCACAGAGCTTCTAAGTCAAAGAAATAAATCCTCTGATGGCAGCATTGTGAGTGAGGTTGGGTCCTTCACACACCAGACAAGACACATTCCACTACACAGGCACACTAGTCCTCAGCAGTGACACAACATCAGTATCCTTATACCTGTCTTAATTCTTATAGCACAATTTAGGATTCCCCAGAATTAATTTTGTGATAACCCATGATTCACAGGCAGGTCTCAAAAGGAGCCCAGCCTTACAGATACTGAAGGCAAACACACTGTGTGTTCATTTTGAGGCACTGTGGTTAGGTGAAGAAAACTCCTGTCACATGAGACACCTGAGGTTTATTCCAGTCTCAGCCAGTGGAACAGTTTTGTACAAATCAACAGCTCCTCAGACATGAAAACCCACCCATAAAACACAGGGAATGATGAAAAGGAGGAGTGCTTTTGAAGCACAAATGATGGAACTGCCCCTTCCAAAGTCCTTATTGTTGGTGAAATAAAAACAATCAGATGCAGATGTCAAGATTATACAACTATATCACATGCTCAGCTGTTCACATGAGTGAAGTATTTGTTGCCAGTAAACTTGATACCACTCGTGTGGAAGGCCATTGCTTTCTACATTTACTTTTCCCTTTAATTGTCTGTTACTTCAGGATTTTTCTTGTCCATGTTCTTCTTTTCAGGTGGAATCATTTGGACCGTATTTATAATTAGCCAATAGAGGTTGAAGCTAGTTTTTTTAACAGCCAAGATGGCCAGGTGCAGTGAAAAAGTTATCAAGTCTTATGGACACACATTGCTCCTGGGCTTGCAGTGTTGTTAGTGGTTGTTTCTGTATTTTTATTCTGCTGTAAGCTGACACATAGGTACCACTGTGCCATGACCATCCAAGCTTACGAGCAGGCAGAAATACAGAGCAGGCACTACTACTTTAACAAACCAGGCTCTGTCTGGCCCTGTAACAAGAATCCCAGAATGACGTCACGTCAGCATGGCACAGAAGCAGAGAGAAGATTAAGTACGTCTTCCACCCTTACAGAAACAGGATCACATGGCACTTTGATTAGCGGGAGGATAAACAGATGCCTTTCACTCCAGAGAGTGTGCTGGTGACATACTTTGTACTCTGCTGCCTGCATTTAAATAACAGGGATGATATGCATCCTTCTCTCTTCATAACTGGACAAATTCAGATGTATTAGATAAAACAGAACCTTAAAAAAAGAGATTACTTAACCACAGGAAGGAATAACTTACCTCAGTTGTGATGAGTTCCTCACTGCTGGAAATTTGTAAGTGAAAAGTAGGTACTTTTTCTGAAAGACGAAGCTCTAATTCAAGCCCCACTATTGAATACGAATTAGGAATAATTTGAGAAAAAACCTTAACATCTGTTGATGTTTTAAAAGTATGCCAATAAGCATTATTTCTAACTAATGTAAACTTCAAATAAAGATAAGAATTGCAGGAAAGGAGGACAAAGGTAGTACCTACAAAATGTGGAAGTCTTCTAAACAGAAGGAGCTGTTTGTTCATAATTTCTTTTTTACTTTGAGGTATTAGCCACATTATGAAGAGAAAGTGTTGTACAATACAGAGAACTGTTGATGATGTCTGTTCTCACCTGTCTCTTGTATGTTTCCAGCTGACTGCGTGCTGCATTGGCCTTCCTTAGCTCTTCTTCCAGGCTCACAGTATTTTGCATGTACATTGTATTCTTCTCTTCTAAGAGTTTCACTTGTCGTCGCAAGTCACCCAGGTCTTCCAATTTCTTTTTGTATGACTCTACCTGGCTTTCTAATTTGGCTACTTTATCAGAAGAATGCCTGCAGGGACAGATTTGTATCAAATTTATACTCCAAAAACTAACAAAATGAAATGTCCTGAAGCTTCCTCAATATTTTGCCTCAATGCAGAAGACATTGTGAGACATCATGGGGAGAACAAGAAAGCAATCATACTCTCATATTACTGATGTTTTCACTTTTAAATTGTCTGCTTCCCTCCCATAACTATCTGTCAACTCGAAGAGCTCCTGATGGCGGTACTTTTAGACACCATCACTCTTCCTAATACAGCCGTCTTATCTGCTTCCAATCATAAAATAATAATTAAAGTACCTTCACTCCCACCCATTTCCTTTCAATTCTAAATCGATCCCCACCCTTGCAAAATGCAGGACTAAAGAATAAAACTTTCTGCCCTTCAATTTGTTTTAATGATAGCCAGGAATAAAATCATAAAGATTCATCTCCTGGGCAGCATATACTTTGTGTCACAGAAGTACCATAACAGCTCTGGAGCATGATTCCTTCTAAAAAATATTGAACACCAGGCTCCATTCATAACATTTCAGAGTTTTTTCAGTCGACCTGGTGCACTGCCAGGGCAGCCACAGCCCTCACCCCCAAGCACCCACATGCCCACTGCTATTACAGTTCCCAGTTTCATTTTAGAACTAATACATTTTAAAAGTAACCTTGCTAGAAAGACTGATACAGGTGGGTAGTGGATAAATGCTCTGAATAACCCATGGCAGCAAGATACGACCACTCAAGGATTATGCTACTCAGTAAAAGGGGCTGTCCCACCCTACAGACCCCTAGCATCACCAAATCATGACAACTTTGGGTGCTAACATCCAGTGGAATACACAGCTGTAACAGATGTTGTTTATATTAGCATTATATGATGAACCAAAACCACCAAAGTCCAAATAATGCAAACCCAGGAAAAGAAAGGGTCTAGTTTCCTGATGAGAACCCATGTCCAAGTCATGATGAAGGTGAGCAGAGAATACTCAAGAGACCAATGAGTGACATGTTATGACCATAAGATGGTGTATGCTAAGGTTACTAACAGTCACTGATTAGATACATAATTTACTTAAGCATAACTGTGTGGTGGTCTGTGTACTTAACTGAAGGATCCGAAAGAATGTTGTCATTGTGGAAGTGTTTATATTTAGTATTAAAATTATTTAAACAAAAGCTAATGAAAACTAAGTACATGAATTATATGGATTAAAAGTTAATAATTAAAAAAGGGTTAATGGAGCAGAGTTTACCTGAGTACATCTATCTCATCCTTCAAAGACTGAGCCTCCTCTGCCAATGTAGTAAGCTCTTCTGTCTGTTGTCTCAATTCAGCAATTTCCTTTTCTAGTTCTTCACAGCGTATTCGATAGTCATCTTTGGCAGCTTCTAATCTGTAGGAATGAAGTAAAACAGAAATTAATTTCTTATCTTGAGCCACAGTTACCTTTCCTCATCATTATCCTCTCTAAAAACACATGAAACAGCCTTCTGGTGCAGTGAAGGAGAATAGCAGCCCAATGTGCTTATTCAAAAACATAGAAGCCCACTGACTTTTTTGATGCTCCCAATTTCACATCAGTCTTATTATTTGGAAGATCACAAGGTAATCTATGTTCTCAGAAAGACAAATCCTGATTTTTTTCTGTCATAGTAATTTTTCACAATGGAAGCTCAAACAGAAATTGCCATCTTTTTTCATCTTGGGCCATAGAGAGTTTGAACATGGTATCTTTATCCTAAGGTTTTGTTCAGCTGTTCAACTCCTATTCACCTTCAACAATACTAACCTGACTGTCAGATGTTCTAAATGCTGTAGAGCTCTCTCCAATGTGGCTTGCTTTATTTATTTACTTACTTATAAAGAACCAAGTCATACATTTAGTTATCTAATTAGCATGTAAAGAACTTGGGCCAAAATTTCTGGAGTGAACTATTTACATAGAGCATACACAGGCAAAGCTGCATTAACCTGGCAGTGAACAAAGGGAATAACTAAGAGAAACTTTGTCAAAGCTTTTTGAACAAATGGAAGAGGACACAACCTGTAACATGAAGTCCTATTTTTATTTTAATTTCAGATCAAAATCACAACTACCCAGGAAAGGAGATATGGGCATGGCAAAGAAAGTATTCTATCTATTCAAGCAGTCCAAAAAGAATCTACAAGAATGGAGACAAGAGATAGTCAGTAGTTCATCTAAACCATATACAACAAAGATTTGCATCTTGATAGACTGGAACTGTCAAAGGACATGAAGAGGCAACACTGAGTGAAAAAGTGCTGTACCACACTGGGCGTCAGTTAAGCTGTACATATGTCTTGTTTGGTCAGGTAAAGCTGTAGAAGGAACAGACACAAATTGCCATTAGAAACCACATGCTATGAAGGCTGGGGAAGGAGGTAAAGGAGCTTGGGAGATGAGTCTCACAAGTGAAAGGGTTTAGAAAAGGCCTTCAGAACCTGAAACTAGAGTAACAGGCAGTGCAGATATTGCATATGGGGAGAAAATTTGTTCAAACAGGAACTGATAATAGACTCAGAGAGGAATCATTCCAGACCATGGAGACGAACAAGGAGAGATAAAAGGGGACATGAGAAAGACATCACTACATTATTCCTTTACATTGTACATGTATATAAAGTAGAACATCAGGCACTAGCTGCTGTGAAAGAGAAACGCTGAACATTTTTCAGAAAACTGAAGGCAGAGGGTGTGTCTGAACATGCAGGAAAGAGACTCAGCAAGAGGAAGTGGGAAAATGGCAAAACAGGCAAAAAAAGGAAAGTTACATGGTAGTCAACATGAGAATTAGAAAAGGGCAATCAAAAGAGGACAGAAAGAGAAGAAAAAATGGCAGTGTAAAGAAATACCATCGTTTCATTCACAAAGGATAGGGAAAGTAGAGCAACAAGAATGAAAAGATGATGGTGAAGTAGACCAGCCTTCTTCAGCAGAATAGGTTTATACAGCCTGAAAGCAATGGTCAAAAGGACCAGGAAAGATATTTAAAGAGGAGCTGTATTTCCATATGTTGAGGAAATGCAAATGAAGAGCAAAGCTCACTTGCAGATAATCTCCACCTTTCAGATATGAAAAAATTTGTTTTCAAACTCTGAAAAGCACACACTTTGCCATATACTAATACCACCTGTAGTACTGCCCACAAAAAGCTTTCAGCTAGGAACTCCTACACCTTAAAAATATAATCAGAATATACATAAAAGAAAGCATGCTACTTTTCATTCTCACCAATTTTGAAAAACATGGGTGAAATATCGTACACAAGCAATTCAATATAACTTCAGAGTAGAGAATGACATGTATACAGCATTTCAGCTTTAAGAAACTAGGCATTTTTTTACACTGGAGCTTGTAAAGTGGTAAATCATAACACAGACATCACTGTAAAAACTGTGGTTATACCACCCATTATACTAACTCATAACTGCCAGCAGAACCAGAAGTATGTAAGTCATGTCTGTTGCCAGCTACAAACAATCTAAACAAGTGTAGCTTTTCTACCTGAATGTTTCCTCTTGGAGTTGCTCTAGTTGTGTCTGCAGCTGCAAATGCCTACGACCTGCAGGGCTGTTCGGATCTTCAATAGAATCAGACTGATTTAACCGTTCCATCAAAATCTGGTTCTCAGCGAGCAAGCTGCTCTTCTCCTCCTGGAGGGCTGCAACCTGTTGTAATAAAAGCATAAAGTGGAATAACTGAGCTATTCAGCTATAGAGAGCATTTTTTTTACCTGTGCATAAGAAAGTATCAACACAACCCACAAATTGAAACACACAGGCTTCAATAATAACATTTCACAAGAGTATACTGTAACATTAACAGGTATTCAATTGCTATGAGATATAACCAATATATTGCAACATATGCAACATGGCAGATACACCACATGGAAAATGTAACTGTTCTGAACTGTATTTTGCACAAGCATGTAAAGAAAAAGACTCAGTTATCACAGAAGATAACATCATTATAATAAAGTCTGCATACTTTCCCAACAAAGAAATAAACTAGCCCTCCACAGTAAAGCTTTTAAAACTGATTTCCAAAAGAAGCAGTGCCTATCAATCACACAGAATATCCAAGTCTGGCTAATCAAGGGATGGCTGTGCACTTCCTAATTTTTTTAATCCAGTGGCCAATTGCAAGCATACCTGAAACAGGAACACAGTCCCAAAGATGACTCAGTTTCTGCCAATGTTGTGAAAACAGGCAGTAGTGCAAAGAACCCTAAGTGCTGCAATTCCAATTTAACAGCTGAAGCACAGGTTAATATATTATTAAATAGTATATAGAAGTAATATGCAGGAGGAGGAGGGGAAAAGAGGGAATGTAAACATCTCAACAGAAGGAAATGCTTCAATAACAGCTTGAATCATCAAGCACCCCAAAATCAACCATGACACACAAATCAGCTTCATTAATTCTAACAGTTACTGAATTGCTTGGCAAAAGCCCGAATTATACTCCAAAGTAGGGTTGCAATGGCAATGCCTTTTGGGGCTCCCACTTTACACTCCTCATGTCTTCGGGATGAGGTACACTTGATTTACAGTAAGGCTTAGTCTAAATCCATACACATCTGACAGGTTACAATAATTTCTGATTGGAATTTAACTCTTAACTGAAACTGTTACAGCAGCATAACCTCTATTACTTCTCCAATGCTAGAGTTGAACACCTTCCTACCTGAATGAAAAAAAGTTTTGGTAGTATGAATCACCTTAATACCGGCAACATTGCATCAAGATAAGAAAACAATGAAATTCACTCTGCTAGCACAAGTAAAGTAAAATAATTACTGTGCAATTTTTATCTCCCTTTTAAAAATTAGGTTTTCACACTATACTTCTTGTTTTCAGCTGCCTAAAAATGAACACATCTCTTTCCCCCTTCACAATTATTATGTACAGTATAGTAAACATACCTGCATATCTAACTCATGACATCGCTGGGCAATTTCTTCTTTTGTTGCTAGTGCTTCATTTAATTCTTCTGTAGTTTTCTTCAGCTACCATAAACAACAAACATTTATACTTTCATCACTCTCTGTGAAGTGTCTAAAAATATTCTGAACTACATGACTGAAATTATTTTTACATTTAGGTAACACATTAATTTTTTTGTAAACTGAGGCAATTCTGTTCTTATAAAGAAACAAGCAGACATGATTATTGTTTAGTTTGTGTGGCAGTAAAAAGTAAACATACCTAAAAATAATATTTAGTGTAACATCAAAAGTGCATTAGAATTATCACATCTATTCTATGAATTGAGTCAAAAAATCCTTTGGAATTTGGATGTGAAGAACTCATCAGCTCTGTACACTGAAAAAATTGTCAATACCACTTTTCTTTACAGATGCCAAGAGCATATAATTTCAGTTTTCAATCTACTTTTCAAATACAGAAAGGATTGGAAGGTGTAATACAGGGAATGGACAATTAGGGTAAAATCTCTCTAGTTACTGGAAGCTACTCTTACTGCACAACAGGAATACAACTAACATGTTGAGGGAGAAGCCTATCCTTCTGAAAACTTCTGAAAAAAGGGCACTGAATCTTGTAAGCAGTGGGAAATACTCAGATACCTCCCTTCAAAGGCTTTATGTTCAAAGATATGTATCTTGCAAGTTTGCATATGAATGCAGTTAGAATAACATAAAAAACATAGCTACAAAAAAATTGGCCTGATAAAACCAGTGCATCCATATTATGTATATAGAAATGTAGGTATGTATTATTATATATGATTAGTTTTAGATGGGCTTTCTCAAACAGCATCATTTTATCTTTCTTTTGCAAGTTTATTTCTCAAGGGACTGTTGACATCCAAAATTAATTCCATCTGCCAGAAATCTACATACTTCTGCAGAGAAAGCATGATGGAGGAATACAAGGAACACCACTGTACTATACTTCTCAGTCAGAAAAAAACTGAGGGAGTAGGACAGTGTTAGCATGAGGTTAAGCTAGTATAAAACCAACTGGTTTTGCATATTCTTTAAATATATCAGACAGGGAAAGATTCTCTTTGGAAACTTCTCATATATTGTAACAGTTTTCAGGACTGCTTTAAGGAGCCACGTCTATGGGGTTTTTTTAAACTGACTTTGGAAGTATGAACTGGCAAAAAAAGTGTTATTCAAATACTACACATTTTTTTGTTCTTCCTTCTCAATACCCAAAGATTTGCACCAGTCTGCAGTTTTGCTATACTATGTCATAGCGCTAAATTTGTTTTCCAAAATGAGTTTTTGTCTCCTTTAAATACACGCAACGGGGAAACTCAATTTATAAAGCAAAAGGACTTGAAATACTGAAATTTAGTTTTCCACTCCTTATTTGAATTCCCCACAAAACCCTTTCACGATTAAAGAAAAAAAAGACAGATTTCTTAATAAAGCAAAATGACTGGGCACTGATGTGCTATGATTGAAGGAAAAAAAACATCTAGTCTTAGATACCTGTCGATCAAGGTCAACGTAAGCATCATTTCCAACAGAGACTGGAGACTCTTTACTCATCAACTGCAATTAGATTACACTGGATTAGAAAAAGCAAGGATTTACTTTTATATCAAAAGCTAAGCTTCAATGAAATACCAAGTTGATTTTAGTTTTTGGGAGCTTCAATCTCACTTCATTCAGAAGTTTTTAACATCTTTTTATATATGACATATTGAGAAACAATTACAAAAATAAATCTTCAGAATTTATAATATTTAAAGCACTATAAATATTTCACAATCTCTTTATTTTCTGAAAATGCACATTCTTTATCTATGATGAAACCTACGGTACACTCTATTAAGCGTTCTACTGAAGTGGCGCTGGAATGATGGTAGCTATCAACATACCACGTGAGACCTGCCTTTAATTGCTCTCTGCCAGTTGTTTTTGTTTTTTGATGACCTGGATGTTCACATCAATTTGTTTATTTAACTGAAGTTGGGGACATATCTATCTCAGCCAATTGTGCAAAACAAAAGACGATCAAAATTCCTGTTCTGGAGTTGTCTGTAATTTGCAGGTTTTAAAAGAAAGTCTATAGAAAGTATTCCTGAAATAAATATTATAATTCTTTGTATACTACCGTACTTTATTGCAGGAGCTGGTAGTGGTTTCAGTCTAGAAAACATCACTTTTAGTCATGACTTAAAAAAAGCCCTCCAAATTGACTGATGTGCTTACTAAAAGATAAAAAGCTGGTAAGAAAGTAAGTTTTCTTTCTCAGTAACCCACTGATCAGCTACACAGATAGTTAAATCAAATGTTACAGAAGTTGGAGCCCAAACACCTCCTCCCACCCACCTCCAACAAACATATTAAGGTAAAGTCCTACTGAAAGTTCTAAGACACAAAAAGGAACACTCTTCCAAATAAGAATTATGTTGTAACTAACTCAAAAGGCAGTATTACAGAACAACACTGATGGTTTCTGTCATCCTGTCCAAACACAAAATGTTTTATGAGTTCTCCAATGACATGATTCATAAAAGTTACAATCAAAAAGGCCTTATCCTAACCAAAATCAGGGCAAGATTTCTGTCCTAAGGCCTCCTGTCCAGCTCGGTTACTCTCTCCAGAGACAGAGCTTCCTTTACTCCTTCCAGAAACCAGTGCTTTTGCATTAGTTTTCATTGGCAAAGTTCCTCAGATACACAGCAGAGAGCTTTCATTTCTTCTCCATTCTTCCTGTTTATACCACTGTGTATAAGAGAAGAATCTCTGACATTTATATCACTCAAATATTTATACACTTACATTTCTCTCCCTTTCCCATCTCCTTAATTGGGATTTAGCCACATACTACATGCTTAAATTTATCTATCTGTCCTCAACAGTCCTCAGTCCTTGACAATGTTTATTGCTAACTGCTGAATTCCCTCCATTTTATCTATATCTTTGCAATGACAAACTGCTCCAAGGTGATGCATTCCTTGAAGCCCAGATTCTCTGCAACTGTAATTAGAAAGCCTCTAGCCTCAGAGCTGCCCCCTGAAAAATGAAGTCACGTGTCTTTTTCATTACTATACTACAAGCCAATTACCATTTTGCCACCCAAAACAAGAATTTCCAATCCTTTTCTGCTCACTGATGTTTATACAGGTTTCACTCCATTCCACTAGCTACTGCTTAAATGCTTTTCCAGATGACTAATAGGGATATCCGTATTAACCAAATACTGAACTCTTCTCCCTATTCGATATATCACAACACTGTTCACAAACACAGTTCAGACACTAGGTAAGTTCTACCTGTTAAGTCGGGACTTCCCAGTGGGCAGGTCCCAGGCTGCATGCAGCCTGCAAGGATGTAAAACAGTATGTCCCTGACAATCTCACAACCCCTTTATGGCCCTAGCACAACTTCCTCTTCAGAAACCTAGCTTAACAGGCCCTGCCCAAGACTTACTGTGGGAGGAATACAAGAGGCTGCACAATCCACTAGAGGCCACTGTGGTGTCGCTGCTTTCTGTGGATTACCTAAAGGAAGTAAGGCCGAGGCCAATAATATAGTCCCTTTATTCTTCAACAGGTTTTGCCACCTCTCCCAAAAACTTCCTATCCTTGAGAAGCCTTAGCAGAAATGTCCAGACAAGAGAACATGAGATGGAGAAGGATTATGTGGTGTAAATACATGGTGTAGGTGTAGTGTAAATGTTACACAGAATTTGTGAGTTTAACCCCATGGGGTGCATCGAGACTGTCATGGGAAGTGTGCATGGAGGCACCGAGGGCAAGAGCCACAGACACATGTGCTGATGACTGACTCAATGCCACAAAAAGCATCTTGCTATTTTATGGTCTGTGACATGGTAAGGATGCTAAAGAAGAAGTCTAAGGGACTGTGCCATATCCCGTAGCCCAACCAGACAAGGAACAGGAACAAGACTGCAGATTACTCATAAGTAATACAGGAATCCAACTTCTGATCATCAGTTAACAATAAACTGAAGTTAAGAAAACTGGGGTAAAAAGGGAGAGTTATGAGGGTGAAGGATTGCCTCCATCTTTTCCCTACCCATCTCAACTCAAATTGGAAAGGACAATGCTATGTGTAAACAAAGGCTTTACCATGGCTCTGCTTCTGGATTGCTTCTACCCAGTTTCTCCCTGCTTAATAGCACACACTTTACTGTAAACAGCACAGCTAAGAGGGTACAACTCCACCTACCTGTTCTCTCTCTTTAGTAAGACTTCCAAGAAAATTCAACAAAAGTTTTACTGAATGACGTGTTTTAGGATTCCATACAGTATGAGTATGTCAAGTCAAAACACACACTACACATTCCATCCACCTAAAAAAAAAATATACAGCAACAGGCTTGCCTAGTTCACCCTATTCTTTACTTTGTCTCTTGCCAATCAGCATTCTCTGATACTACTGAAGTTTAGAGTTCCAAAATGCTCATTTCCATCAGTAATTAGGTCTTTCTGCATTATTTATTACTAATCTGATGATACTAGTAGGTTGTGACTAATTTTTAAAGCAAAGTTCCTTACTGTGTTCTGCTATATATCTTTTACTTATAAGCCCACATTCAGACAAATTCCTGAACTACTTCTGTAGTTTCAGTGCTTCACATGCAACCTGCAAGTGTGGTATCAGAACACATAGTCTTGGGAGGTATGGGTCAATGCCAATACTTTGAATTTAGAGTGCCAAACAATTTGATTTGTATTTCAGTTGGCTAACTCAAATAAAAAGTAGGAGGAAGTGGCCTTCTCATTCTCCCTCCACAGCTGCAAGTTTTCTTCAGGAGTAAACTACAGGTGAGCATAAAGGTCTACCTTCACAGTTTTGCAGCAATGGAACTGGCTTTCAGTGCCAAACTCACAAATTAGCTGAAGTATAGTATTATCACCTATTTTCACAGGTACCTTTTAATGGATGATGATGTGCAAAGATTTTCCAAGTGAATTGATCATAAAGGGGGAAATCAAAAAAGTGCCTGCAAGATCAAGCAATTGCATTAGGCCTCTACAGAGAAGGAAGAATTTGCTTAAGAACTTCCCACAGTGAAAAAGCAAGCAACTAACATTTAATTCCTTGCTCTTTTTTGGGTTTATATTCCATACTTAGAATGAAGACTTGATTATTTGAACAAATACTTATGCTACTTCAAAATGTCATTTAATATAAAAATAACTTATTCTGTGGAGAAAAAGGTCAGTCTGGATTTCAAATGGTACAAAAACCTAGACAACGTGACAGTTTTTATAATTCCTTGTCTAGTTTTATGAGAAGCAGTTGTCATTCCCTGTTAATCCTTCACATCTATACGTTTTCATGCTCATAGCTTTGGTACAACGTCTTACAAGATACCTGTAGACCTGTTAATTTTATGTTATTAAAACCATCACTTTTTAACTGCTTTGCTTGTGAGATGTGAACAAGTTGTGTTGTCATGGATACACAAAGATTAGTGAAGGGGTAAAACTATCACAAAATCTGCATGCATGAATAACCTGAATTATGAATGCTCTACACATGATTTGCACAATTTTGCAAATGCAGCTGCACCACTTCATCGATGATTTGTTAAAAGTTCAAAACATTTGCTTTATCTGAAATGCTTCTTCTACAGTTGCTAATAAGGTACAAGCTCATTTAAGTGCCCATGAAACAATGTCAAAATCCAGCTTCTGTATTCAGAAGGCTGTTTTTGTTTTTTAAAACATCTTTTTGTTTGTTTGCTTTTTAAGAGTCAAGGCGATGTATGACACAGTGCATATCCTTTAATGCAGCTGGACTTTCTTCTTCCTCCAGTACTGTTGACAGACCGAAGGCAGTATTTTTCTATATTTCCTAGCTATTCAAAAACCACTTTTACTTCAGATAAGATGATCCTTTAAACAGTCAGGACAAAATTATAAGGGGAAAAAAAAAAAAAAAAAAACAACAAAACCAAACAGTTTCTACTGTGTGGAAGTAACACAGAGGGTATTAACCCAGACAGGAAGTATCTTTTGCTACGCACCCTCGGCAAGTTTTGACACTACCTCTAGTACTTTGCTATTAAGAGCCTATTCTGACTCTCAACTTGACCTGCACCGACACCTGCTAACTGATTTCCCCAGCTACCACTTTCATCAGTAATAAACTTGGCTGCTCAAAGAAAAGACTTGGGGAAAACAACAGCAGAATTTCCAAAGGATGTCAAGGAAAGGAACAGAAAGAGAAATACATAATGACCAAAAGAACTTCTATAAGGAAAGATTTTTGGCCTTTAAAGAAAACATGTAAATTATGAAATTAATAATATATGCTATATTATACATAGTAATCTATATTAATTGCATATAATCATAAATTATAATATAAACTGAATAGGAATATATATTGCAGAATATACAATACAAAACATAATTTATAATTATATGTAATATTTTTGCAATATTTTTGATAGCTATATCATTCTTGCTCTTCCTCTATCTTGTGCACAGCCTGCATTTAGAAATGCACATTTGCAGATTAGAATCTAAAAATCTATGTGGTGGCAACACACCAGTTCAATTTGACTGCACTGAAAAAATAACAGAAAAGCATTGTTCAATTTATAAAACCTTTACAGAACACAAGGCATATTTTATTAATAATAGTTTATTTTAAGCATTTGAATAAGTGAAGAAAGGAAGTACTGAAGAGTCACGAGTTACCTAAAAAATGAAATGACCAAGTAAAATTTAACACACAAAATGCTCCTTGTTCCATATAAAAAAATCAGCTTCTTCATGCAAAAAACAGAAAAACAAAAAACAGGGTAGAGGCTTGTTCTACTGTGCCTCATGAAATATTTTCATGAGTAAGATGATTTATAAAAACCAAAGAAGTATCAACAAACATTTATATGGTCTTTGCTGAAACAGAAAAATGAATTACATAATACATCAGTAAAGCTTAGAGGTCTTTTTACATAGCTAAATTTGAAGAAAGAGTACCTGCATGTCAAATACTTTGAAATGTGTGGATTAGGTGACACACCAACTTTTCAGATACGCAAATATAGCTACTTTCCTATGCAGTTTATATTGCTGTCTCTTACATATTGCTTAATCCAGGTCACTTGGATTGAGATCTGCTCCAAGTCCAAGAAACAGAAAAACTTCCTTAAATCCAGTGAAGTTTCACTCCTCCAGAGACACAGGCTGCAGGTGCAGCTCTGAAAAGACTCTCTGGATCTAAACTCTTGTTAGAATCATGGAGTATCTCAAGTTGGAAGAGACCTGTAAGGATCAAGTCCAACTCCCTGCTCCTCGCAGGACCACCTAACACTAAATCATATGACTAAGAGCATTGCCCACATACTCCTTCAACTTTTGACAGGCTCGGTGCCATGACCACTTCCCTGGGGAGCCTGTTCCAGTGATGAGCCTGGCTCAGTGAAGAGCCTTTTCCTAATGTCCAATCTGAACTTCCCCTGATGCAGCTTCATACCACTTCCTCATGTCCCATCGCTGGTCACTAGAGAGAGGAGACTAGCATCTCCTCCTCCACTGTCCTCCCCTGAAGAAGTTGTAGGCTGCGACGAGGTCACCTCTCAGCCTTCTCTTCTCCAAGCCAAACAAACCAAGTGACCTCAGCTGCTCCTCATAAGTCTTGCCCTCTGGTCACTATCCTCCAGACACACTCTAGTTTGATGTCCTTCTTATATTGAGGTGCCCAGAACTGCACAGAGTACTTGAGGTGGGATCTCATCACTACAGTGTAGAGTGGGACATTCACCTCCCTTGACTGGCTGGCAATGCTGTGCTTGATGCACCCCGGGACACGGCTGGCCCTTTTGGCTACCAGGGCACACTGCTCACTCAACTTATTTACTCAACATACATCAACCAAAATCCCCAGAACTCTTTCCTCAGGGCTGCTCTCCAGCCTCTCACCCCCTAGTTTATATGTATAACCAGGACCACCCTGTCCCAGGTGGAGAATCCAGTAATTGCTCCTGTTAAATTTCATATGGTTGATGATTGCCCAGCTCTTTGGTCTATCCAGATCTCCCTGTAAGGCTATTCTACCCTTGAAGAACTCCACAGCTCCTCCTAGTTTAGTATCATTGGCACACTTCCTTAATATACATTCAATTCCTGCATCCGGATTATTTATAAAACATTAAAGAGCACTAGCCCTAAAATTGACCCTGGGGAACCCCTCTGGTGACTGGCCACCAGCCTGATGTAACTAACCCCATTTACTATAAACTCTTTGAGCCTGACTCATCAGCCAGTCACTCACCCAGCATATTATGGACTTGTCTAGCTGTATACTGGACATTTTGTCTCAAGTAATTTCAAATAACTGCCAGAATAACCTCCTCCATAGCCAGGCACTGAAATGAGACAAGACTGTAATTATCAGGGTCTTCCTTCTTACCCTTCTTGAAAATTAGGACAAACTTTGACAGCTTCCAGTCAACTGGGACCTCTCCAGACACCCAAGACTGTTGAAAAATAATGGAGGGAGGTCCCACACTTGAAGTATCTCAAAGTTTTTGAGATATTTTCTGACCTCTTCATTAAGCACCTGAGATACTCCTCATTTGGTTCTGAATGCCTTGTATTTCTAAGCAGCTCAGAAGGTAGCATTAAAATCACACAGAACTGCACCAGTACTGAATAGTAAGCTTTTTGATTCACTGAGTTTCAAAAATCTGTTCCGGAAGAACAGACCCTCATCCTGTGATTTCTCCACTCTTCTACTCCCCACCTCTGAGAAAGTGCACAGACATTAAACAAGTTCAATGCCTACTCATCAAATGCCAAAAACTGTGGGCTGCTTCAGATCTGGCTATTTTATCAAATGAAGGAGATTTTTACAAAACTCAAACAGGAGATTTGCAACAGGAGGGAAGATAAGAGAAGGTTTTCTATTTTAAGACTGTACAGAATAAAGCGATGATGAAAGTTGGGTTTAATAAAATAGGACATTAGAAAAATCCACTAAAACCTCGTATTACAGTTAAAAAGAATGCAAAAGTGAAATATCCCAAAACTCAAGCAAACTGGTGCTTGCTGCAGCACTGAGCAGAAGATGATTTGGCATAAGGATTCTTTTAAAGTTCATTTCAAAATTCCTCTCTGTAATGTTAGAGATAGCAGTCCACACACAGACAACAGGATGTACAACTGCATGGATACAGCATTGGCCAAAGTGATAATAGGGGACAGGGTCCCTATAGGCTCACTGACATCTCTTTCTCTATTCAGACATTACAGAAAAGTGAAATTGCCCTAAAGTTCAATGTGGAATTTCGTTTCTCTTGTTCAGGTTCAGAAGAAATGGGATTACCAGCCATTTCCTGCTTTCCCTAGTGCCCTGCCCTGCAGTAAACCTCTATCTATGAAGACTGATAGGCACTTCACTTATGGGCACTTTGGGCTCCTAAGAAGTCACATGGGGGCTTCATGGCTATAGTGGTCACTAACACTGTGGTTTAATTTTCACTGTGGTTTCAATTTACTGTTGAACAGCACTTTTACAAAATACACTACAGTATAATTATGAACTTGCAAAAACATATTAACACAAATATCTCCATTAGTCTATTCATAACACTACAGCTGACAAAAGAATACTCTACTATTCATTTCTCTTTCTTTTCACTTGACCAGTAAAAAAATAAATGAATTAACAATTCATGGAGTTTTGCACTTTCATGGTACAAATTTTGAAGAAATTCTACAGTGTTGGGTTACTCATATAAAAGCAGTCTAGTGCACTTCAGGAACCACAGGGTGGGAAAGGTAAAGGAAAGGGAACCCAGTATCAAAAATATCCAGAAGTTCCAATCTTCTAGATTTAAAGAAAAGTGGGACATTCAACCAGAGTTCCTTGACAAGCTTTACTGATTTGTTTTTCTAAGGAAAAATAAGATAATTTTTCAATGTAAAAAGGCAAAATCTATGCCCCTTATTTTCTTTGCTTCCAACTAAGTTTTTCCAAAGCGGGGAAAAAGTATACTTGTGTAAAAAGTATGAACTTTTGAAAAGCTGAACTTTTACACACTGTGGGCATCCCAGCGTACCTCCTGAATGGCTGTCATGACAACATGTTGAACCGATTCTTCCATCATCATTATGGTCTGGATGTACTCTGAAAATAAGAGCATTCTGAGATGTTACTGTTGAAACTTAAGTCACACAAAACATGAGGTCAGAGGCTGCATCCTTCCTACAAAATGACTAGGTGCCACAGATGATACTGAAATAAATAATCACCAGTCAAGTCCCACCCCAACAAACTCAACAAGACTTTACCAGTAGTCTGTTCAGATATAAATCCAGGCTCACTGGAACTCTGCAACAACGAAAAAAGTACATGATTGTTATCCTTTTTTTTTTTCCTTCTGGCATCTCATACTTCTGAAATAATTACTTGCATGCCTCTTCTCATTTTGCTCCCCAACTATTCAGGGTATACAGGTACACAACCCATACATAGGTTGTCCTTCTCCGTAAGTTTAACAATGATGTCCTGCCTTCCTACAGCATCCTCATTTCAAGGCATCTTTATCTCCATTCTTTGTTTCTGTTCTTATTTCGGTGCTATATCACACATAAGTCCCCTCCACTTATTCATTCCTTACCTATGTGTAGATGTGAGCTACACAACAGGTACCCTGTAAGACGATACGGTGGTTAGAATGACAAATCCTGACATAGACCAAGTCAAGGAGTTTATGACTTTCCCAGTATCATATGGTTTCCAGTCAGACAGGATTACCTTTACATGCGACCTGTATTCTTTTAATGATTTGCCCAAGAGGAAAATGCTGGGAATCAGTCACCTCAAAGTGATTAATTATGTCATGCCAAGTCTTCCTCCAAGTACACAAAATTAGACTGTTCTGATATTTCAAACATGTACATTTTTAATATTCAGACTGAAAGAGTAAGAGAAACACAGGAATTAAGATATACTTCCCACCAAATAGTCACCAAAAGGAAGGAAGATAATTTCACATAAAACACAGAGGACAGGAGGCCTAATAAAAGAGTTATTTATGTACTCATGGAAGAAAATTACCTCTATTTTAATTAATAGGATAGCCAGACAGTCTCCTGATTAAGGGAAGAATAAAAGTCATTTCAGAAGGAGAAATTGAAGTGATTTAGACACCTGAGAAAATTGAAAAGGGGAAATTAGCTATAAAACCTAAGATGCATCATGCAAGAGGAAGACAAAAAGGACTGAAACCCTGGCTGCCATTTTGTCAGAAAGGAAACCAAAATTAATTAAATTAGGAAGACACAGATGCAACTTTAACTTACAACAGTAAGCATAGTTTTATTTACCCACATGTGTATTTTAAGTGTTAAGAATAAATGTTTGTAGTTGCTTTGTTACCTTGACCTCATTTGAATTAAATGTACTTTAAAGTAATTGGGTAACACTAAGAGACCCTGTACCCAAGGCAAGTTTAGAGCACGAGGTTTGGGACACTTGAACAAGCATCTCTGTTGCTCATCACATCCTCTGTTGCAACTGTGGTAAAAATGAATGGCTCCCTATTTTACCTGTGCAGGTCAGAGAGACGGTTGGCACCATGGGAGTCAAGAGAGGCAGAAGTCTCTCTCAGTGACTGCTGAAGTGGGATTCAATCATCTAAAAGATGCCTCAAGTGACAGTTTGGATGCCCTTAAGGTATCATGCTTGACCTTCAGCTCTTGACCAGAAGATGGGTTGCCATTATCTATTTTTTCTATTTGCGAACCCCATGCAAAAGTCTCACAAACTACAGTATCCCAAATCACACCAGACATATCTTCAGACCAACCCCCAGTCATACTGATGGCTCTCAGCCATACAGTAAGATGCTGACTGAAATGCATTCATAAAATCAAGAGTCACACATAATAGTGCAACAATGATATTTTTTGATTCTTAACTATCCCAATCTACCTCATAAATGGTTCAAGGGTGGTCCCAAAAATTTTCCTTTTCAGCTCAGAAAAAAAATTAAAATACATATGTTGGAAGCAAAACCAGTTCCCTGGTTTGAGACTCCAAAAGTGGTCAAGCTTATAACAAAACAGCAGTTATTATCTGTAGGACAAAATAACGGCATCACTAAAAAAAAAACAAAACACCCAAACATTTCTCTCTGACAGCAACCCAAGAAATACAATTTTCCCCCTAAACATTTACACAACAAGCTGGATTTCATTCACTGCCTGTGAGAAAACATGCTTTCAAAATTTAATACCTTGCTTCTGTTCACAATTCACAGCACATCCCAAAATAAGCTGAAGCATTCTCCCAAGCTCTGCAGCATCAGAGTGCTCTCCAATCAGGTTAACATCAGGAAGAGTGAAGTCATTAATCTGTTGCCCTAGAATCTGCATAAAGACCCAGCATATACAAGGCTGTATCACTACACATATACATACACACACAATTCAAAATACAAAGATGATTCAGAATCAACAAGAGCAATTAATTCATACTTTAACATAGTTTTCAATCCACCTTTAAAACAAACTAAATTGGCTAACACCTAACATACAAACATTAAACCAAGCTGCTTGATACAACTAATATTGGGGAGAAGACAAATCTGACTGTCTCTAGTGAGAGACTAATAAGAAACTATTATTTTCAAACTTAGCAAGATTTTTTTCTTCAGGTAAGAAAGGTAACAAAGGCAGGCTTCCACAGTGATCAACAGCACATGGATAATTAACGTTTTTTTTAAAGCATTCCATTAAAAGACCTTATGTAGCATAAAATATTATACACAATCTTACATTCTTCACCACTAGAAAGCCAGAAAGCGAAATATTTCACTTATACAATACATGTATCTAGCACTGATGGAAGACAAATATAAGACAGTAAAAAACTTGATCACAGCCTCACACTTCTAGAAAATTTAAGGATATTTAGCAGGCCTCAGAGCTAAGAAAGCTAGTTTCATGGAAGAGAATTTGAGGTAGTAGTACAATACATAATTAAACAGCCCACATGCAGAAAGAAAAAAAAAACCAAAACAAAAAACCCCATGTGACTTACAAATAATGTAATCTGATTTATAATTAAGGAGGATTTACATTAATGATTGTCAGTAGAAGGAATTAAACAATTCTGCTAAATTGTTCATAAAGACCTTTCAGGGGGTTGAAAATATGAATATGAAATATGGAATTAAACACATCTCTGACACATTAATTGCAGATAAAAAGAAACTGTCACTTCTTAAGCAGGGTGCAGTAAAGAAAAAATGACTATGGAAGGAATCAGTAATTTGTTTGCTGGATGCCCTTTTTAATGTTAATAATCAAGAAAAACAGAAAATCAGGTAAAGTTATTTATGAAAAAACATTTAACAGATGTATATGAAGAATACACAGAAATCAAGCCATTCAAAAGTTTTCCATAGTTGGCCTTTGTGGAATTGTTGTGTTTGAGTTTTTTCTTGTTTTGTATGGTGGTTTTTGTATTGTGGCATTATTTATTTTTTTCAAACAGCTTTCTTAAACAATGAGCACCAATACTACTAAAAATCTCTGTGGCCTTTGAAGGACCCAGATTCATTCTTGTTGGAAAAGACTTCCTTTAGGTCATTCTAGTGAGAAAATAAGAATTATGTGAATGCATCAAGCACAATGGAAAATATTACCATAGCATATAGAATGCAGTAACACAGTAAAACACGATATTCTTTGAATTATACAAATCTGATATGTGTTTATATACTGATCTGTAGTGCCTGAATTTTCTTTCAAATGCAATGCCATATTTAAATTAATAATACAACTGCTTCATAGTTGTTGATAATATAATTGCTGTTCAAGAAAGCTGAAAGGAAGAGGCATATCAGCAGGCATGATGACAACATCAAACATGCAAAGATGTAAACAGAGAATTTGGAAAAAAAAAGATACAATTTTAATTCAACAACAAAACAAAAAAAATTGAAAGAAATATGAAAATGAAGGATAGACTCTGCAATAACTATCTTCAGATGAAAAAGAGCATTCCTCCTCTTTAAAAAAAATTGTATATATATAAAAGACCTTTACCACAAAAAATGAAAGTTTCAATACCAGAGCAGCAGAGTTCTGCAGCAAGATTACTGGGGCATAACAAGGCAAGCAAGCTATAAATAGGTAACTTTGGCCTCTTACTCTTACATAGTGTAATTCACAAAGACAGCAGTGTAGGATAGCTAGTGAAAGACTGTCCTCTGAATGAGATACAAATTTTTGAGTTTTTGAAGATGGACAAAATTAGCACATACACTTTTCAAAGTCTTTTCACTACATCAGGTAAAATCCATACACATTCACATCTATATTTGTGTAGAAGGTGACTGCTAGTGATGTCTGAGGCAAATGAAAGATTCTTGGGGGCAGGTACGCAGGAAACAAAA